TCGCGGATTTTTTATCTAAAAATGTCTAAAAAAAAAGAGAATAATATACGAATGTTTCTGTCTGCAGTACCGTCTCCACCATTACGTGTAAGTGTACGTCAGATGATCGGCAGTCGTGTGAACGTGATCTGGGACCCGCCGGCATCTCCGCGTGGTCGTCTGCGCCGCTATACGTTGTACTACGCCCCGCCTCTACCACCCGCACAGAAAGTTGTATTTGTCACCCATCATGAGCCCGTCAGTCTTACAGTCAGGGGCTACTTCAAACCTAACACTAATTATTCATTCTGGGTATGTATAATTCACATATTCTTTGTTTGTTTTTTTTTTAAATTGTGCACTTTACTAGATACAATATTTGTGTTGCTGTAAGTAATATTACTGTACTTCAAATTACATGCCTTTTGAAGCATGTTTTGAACATTATATTTGCATAACTTTAACGTTACTTTTTCATATTATAGTTTCCACAAAATACCTTTAAAATAAAAATAGCAATTTTTATGTGTTAAATGCTAATTTATATTTACATATTCTTTGTTTTTTTTTTAAATAGTGCACTTTACATTTAAATCTGTAAAGAAATTACAGTCTGGTTACAATTCACTATCTTTCTGTAACACCTGCGTTCTATGTGAGAATTTGTGAATCTACAACACATTCTCTACAATTCAAAAATATAGTTTTTTCTTTTCTTTCAAAATATCACAAATACCTATAAACATATTATTTTTGCAGGTGACGGCAACGAACAACGCCTACACATCAAATTCATCAGAAGTGATGTACTTGACATTCGATGAAGTAGGTGACGTGGATGACCTAAAGAACATCAGTGTGACGCGACTCGCCAACAACTCAGTGTCTGTCAAATGGGACAAGATTCGCAGCGTCGACGGATACATCGTCAGTACGCAGCTGCCTCTGCTCTACTCCAGACTCCAGCCAATACGTACCAAGGAGAATAATGTCACACGTAAGCACATAGAGCAAACCATAGACGAAAATATAAAGTCATAGAGCAAATATAAATGTCAGAGAGTAATTGAAGGACGGAAAAAGAGAAAGCCATAAACGCGTGGATAAAAACATCTTTCCTAATTTTTTTTTTCTTATTTGACTCTTGCAACTTATACAAAATTTAGCAAATTTATACATAAGTCAACACAAATAATTTTAAAATGTAATTTATTTTGTTCCCAGTGAAAAACCTACCACCTGGTGTGAAAATCTTCATCCACGTGATGGCTTACAAAGGTTCGATGATCGGTGAACCTGTCACCGAGGTGATAATCACGGAGGGTGAACGCGACGAGATGCTTAATATGACAGCTATACTGCTAAAGGAGAAGAGGACCGCCGTACTCCTGAGCTGGTCACCACCACTGGCTGATAGGTACAATGGCAAGGAGTTGAAGTACCAAGTTATTTACACTGACGCCGCGCATTGGAGAATACCGACTGACTTGAAGGAGGATCATGGTACGTTATAGTAATTTATAGTATGTTAAATTTACTACCCAGTCCCCTACACTAACTTTTTGTCTGATAATAAAATAATTAAATTTATTATGCTCATTTTTATAAATTTACTAGCTGTTGCCCGCGATTCTGTCCGCAGCGAATTAAAAAAAAATAGAATCCTATGTTCTATATCTATGCTAAATTTCAGCGAGATCCTTACAGCCGTTCTGGAGATATCTTCAAACAAACATCCATCTAAACATTTACATTTAAAATATTAATTAGATGAATTAACAACTACTCAATATGTTTACAGAGAAGAAAATAATAACAACGAATACGAGCGTAGTTATCGACGGGTTGCACGCTTGCGAGACTTATGTGTTCACTGTCAGTCTGCTCGGCGGACCCGTCACCAAATACAAGGAGATTGTCACCAGAGAGAACCCCAAGTAAGTACACGCCATTAGATTTGGCACGCTATGAACTAAAGTTTTCTTCTGCCCGACGTTCCAATTCAAGTCGCATACCGTTTACATTTTTAAATGATCTTTTATGTAAATTTTTGCGAAGTTTTTGCTTAAAAAAGATTTTTTTTTTCAGAGCGCCCATAAAGGACTTGGATTATGAATACAACAAAGAGAAGTCAGAGCTTAAGATCAAATGGCACATCAATTGTAACGCGCTCAGTGAAGCTGTACCTTATAGGGTAAACTAATTTATTTATTTACCTATTTTTAAATGCAAATTTTGCTATTGGTGCCAACAAATACGTATTAACTGAAATTTTTGTTTTTTTTCCATTTTAACAGTTTAAAATTATTGTTTCAGCTGGAAATAACGGAATTGACACATAACAAAGTGAGTCGGTATGCACTAAATGCGACGCGCAACTCGTCTCTAGAGCACATCATAGAAAACGTACCCGTCGGCGGCAGATTCAATATTTGTGTTGCTGTAAGTAAAATTACTGTACTTTAAATTATATACCTTTCTAAGCATGTTTTGAACATTATATTTGCAAAACTCTAACGTAACTTTTTGATATTATAGTTTCCACAAAATACCTTTAAAATAAAAATAGCAATTTTTATGCATTAAATGCTAATTTATATTGACAGGCGCACGTGGAAGGCGCATCAAAGCGTTGCATCGACGTGCGCACGGGAGCACTGCCGGCGCCGCGCGGCCTGGTCGCCTGGCTCGCACCCAATGGACACCTCGTGCTCAACTGGCAACATGTTGAAGGACCCGACACACCTAAGTAAGTTAACCTAAATATTATTAAAACCGTAGGTTTTTATTGCAATAATACATATTGTAGACTATGTTTTAACGTAAGGGATAATAAGTCAGTGTTAGGGCATTGGAGTTCTGTGGTAAGACAAATATACTCGTAATTTTTCTAATCAAATACTGGGTACTATATACTGAGGTGTTATTTCCAGGCACAAGTACCAGGTCATAGTGTCGGAGAAGGAGATACCAGATGACCTGGTCCAGCCTAGTGCGGACATGCGTGTGGAAGAGGCGGAGCGTTCACCGCTGCTGCTGGCAGTGACTGCGCCTGCGGCCGCGCGCCCTCTATACGTTAGCGTGCGCGCAGTCACGCACGATGGCTACTACAGCGAGCTCAGCGAGGTCAACACCCTTACTATGGAAGGTACGACCTCATATACGTCGGCGCGCTACCGGTTTCGCTGCCCTCCTTCTTCTTCATCATTGTCTTCTTCTTCATCGTCTTCTTCGTCTTCTTCTTCGTCTTCTTCTTCATCCTCTTCTTCGTCTTCTTCTTCGTCGTCGTCTTCGTCTTCCTCTTCATCTTCTTCGTCCTCTTCGTCTTCTTCGTCCTCTTCGTCTTCTTCGTCTTCGTCCTCTTCGTCTTCTTCATCTTCTTCGTCTTCATCTTCTTCTTCGTCTTCTTCGTCTTCGTCTTCTTCTTCGTCTTCATCTTCGTCTTCTTCGTCATCTTCTTCGTCATCTTCTTCGTCATCCTCTTCTTCTTCATCATCTTCTTCTTCTTCTTCCTCTTCTTCTTCTTCCTCTTCTTCTTCTTCCTCTTCTTCTTCCTCTTCTTCTTCTTCGTCATCCTCTTCGTCTTCTTCATCCTCTTCTTCTTCGTCCTCTTCTTCATCATGGTGGAAATCTATCTTCTATTCAAAACTTGGACTACTTAAAAAATAACAACATACACCACTGATCTTGTGTCTGTGCCTCACCACAAAGAAAGTTGTGTGCAAATCACTAAGGCATTCCAAACAACGGGTAAACTCCAACCTTCACATCTGATAACTGATGGCACAAGATGCACCGCTATATTACCTTGCTCGCTATCTGCTAAACATCAACCAGTACAATGCTGCACTACCTACAGGAGATACATCCAGAGAGATGAGCACTCACCAGTTATAATAATAACAGTGAAATTCCAGTGAATAGTCTCATGAATTTAAAGTGCCAGATTTATTAAGCTTTATCGCAGTGTCTTTCTTATTAGGCTATTACTTACCTCTTTTGTAAATTTATACGCGCTTGCTTCTGTAATAACAATTCACATCACTGCCTATGTTTTCTTTAATACTTATTAACCAATTAGATTGATTCGATCGAATACTAAAATATGTATAGACTTAACTATTAATATACTACGCACACGTTGTCATACACACAGATTCTCATACAAACACTCACGCATACTCATACTGACATTCTCTTTACACACATACACTCACTGCAACTACGTACATCAAATAACTAAAGTGAATGTTGTGTATATTTTTATTCTTAATTTCTAACGAAAACTAACCAGTAATTTATTTTTATATTGTTTCCTTTTTGCTACTATTTTTTTTTCTTTTTATTTGTTGCTTTTTATTGTATTATAGCTTTTTTCTATGTGCATTTAATGTAGTTAGTTCTGTTATATTATTTTTATGTTGGTACTTGGGACATTCAAAATTTACTTAAATGGAGGTCTCATACATGTTCTACTTTTGGTATAAGATGTTGACGAAATAAATAATTTATATTTGTTTTTAGTTTTATTTATTATTTCTTGTGCCTCTGGTGTTGCACTTGGTGCATTTTGTGTGAAGAAGGGGAATGTGTGATAGATTCTGTGGAGGAGATGAGCACGGCGAGCACGGTGTGGTGGGGCTGCGGGGCGGCGGTGGTGGGCGTGGCGGCGCTGGGCGCGGCGCTGCTCTACTCAGTGGTGCGCCAGCGCAGACTCGCGCGCAGCTTCCTGCGCCTCTCCGCACACACGCCGCGCTACGACAGCCGCCGCGGACAGGCCACCATCGAGCACGGTCAGTAACCTACCATTTTGCTGATTGAATTTTTTTAAAAACTATTTTGTGGGAGGTTTACTGCCTGACATAGTGGGAAGTATGTATATATTGTCATATACCAGTGATGTTATCATTGAATATTTCTATCCGAAGATAAATAAAACACATTAATAAAATTGATAATTTTATTTGTAACTAAATTATTATGTCATTTGTGTATAAACATCATAAATGTAAAAGTCTTTTTTGCAGATGACGACGACGTGCCTCCTATACAAGGGTTCTCGGACGATGAGCCCCTCGTGATCGCGTGAGCGCGCCACCTTGTGATGTAACGAAATCTTGTCATTATTAGTATTTTTATATTTATTTATGTTAAAATTATATGTAGAAAGATTTAAATTCATTTTATGTAATGGTTGTATGTTAGGTCGACCAAGCTATCTGTTAGGTGTCGCCACTATCGAAAATAAAGACATCTCATTGGCTAACAGGCTTACTGACATTTCAAAGCTACGGCTAATTATGGTCACTTTACAGATGACTTGGTCGCACTGTAAAAAAATGACACCGATTAGTTGATCAATGACGTCTTCTGTCACTTTTAGAACTGAACTGTCAACGTGTTTTGACAGCTTGTCATTTCGCGATGACAGTTGCGTTCATTATTTTATTTGAATAAATAGTTTATGTTCAATTATAACTTGGACAAATATTGATCTCTTGTATAAAGTAACAACGACAAAAAAAAAACGTTTTCTCGTCATCAATATTTTATAGTTTTTGAACACAATAGAGGAAAACTAAACGTATTATATTACGAAAAATTTAGTAAAATTATTTTGCTTCAAAACATTGCTCACTGAATGAAAAATCTTAGATAATATTTTTGTGTGAAGTTTAAGTTAAGGATTTGTCCGGATAGCGTGAAAAGATTAAAAAAAAATACTAACGTTAGTTTTAAATGAATTATTTACAACCATTTTAATTAAAAACCTGGCTATATGATAACCAAAGAAAAAATTATTAGAGCAACATAAAAAAAAATCGAAAAACCGAAACTTTAAATTTGGTCATTCATAAAAAAAAGGAATTACGCGTTAGATCTGGACAAATCAAATACAAAAGGGCTGTAAAATTGTAAGACTTGTTTGTGTTACGTATAAAAACATTAAGTTTACGTTTTGTTCTTTAAAATGATAGTAACTGTGAATTCCAACTGTCTTTTGTTCCAAATGTTTTTTGTCAATTATTGTTATCTCTGTTTTTTTCAAAGAGAGTGAGAGAGATAACAATAATTTTATAAATATTTTATCACAGTGGAAATACTATTAAGTGTATGTGACCGTAGCTATCTCATTAAACTCAAGTTCGACACCAAAGATCTATTTTGTACACAACCAAAAGTACAATATTAGTTCATTTTATTATAAATGTAATTGTGTTGAACTATTTTATATCGTGACCCGTAGACAACATTCCCCATTTTAGTATTTTTTTTATAATGATTAGTTCCTAAAATATATTTGTGCTGCATTTGTTATGATTTATTAGTTTAGAAAATTAATTTAATAAATTTAGCTACGTTTCTGATTTAGTATGGTTATATATAATACGACTAAATAAAAAATAAGAGTTGGTATAAAAAAATTAAATTATTGTAATATTTTAGATGATTCTGACGTTGGTCGCAGGTGTAACCGTTTGTGAATGAATAAAGTACATTAAATAAATGTTGTTTTATTTTAAATCTAAATTCATATAATTTATATCTATGCATGTAAATTTTAGTTCATCTTTTTGATTTTTCTATTAATACATATTTGTACGAGACAAGTTTGACATCAATTTTAGACACTATTTTACTTATTTTGTTCGATTTTCTTGTAGTAATTTATACCATAATTCACTTAATTTATTCCTTAAGATAAGGATAAATTCAACTGTAACCATACCTTTGTTATTTAGTTAATTCTCAAAGCAGCCATAGCGCGTATCGTCCATTCCTGCGGCCGCATCAGTACTACAACGTGATTACGCCATACAGACAACCCCGCTACGGAGTACACATCGTTCGTTCTACACAGTAAAGGTCCGCCGGGCCCCGTCTGCAATACAAATAAATTTATTATTTAGAAACAAACGAAACAGTAACATTATTTGATGATAAAACGAAAACTAATAGAAATAATATTAAATAATTTATTAACACTTACAACGGTAGTCTTGGAATCAACGGAAGCACAAAATGTATCAATTGGAAGATCGAATTCCTGTTCATTTGACATATTTTCAGCACAATTTTGAGAAGACAAAATAGATGCTCGTTGCCAACGTGGACGCTGTTTTACACCTAGAACAAAAATCTCTCCTAATTTCCGAAACAGTACAGGACCATTGAAGTTAATTTAAATTAAAATGGCTCAGTAAACATTTTCAAACGTGTTCTTAAAATTTTGCTATTTGAAATATTCAGGAGTCGTAAGGACATACCTTGATCGTACCCGCCCCAACCAACGAAGATACATTCGTTACTAGTATCATCTGACAAGCACACCGGTTGCACGTGGAAATCCAATCGTAATGGACGTCTCCAGTACTGAAATACCATATACATATATTTTTGATAATCTGACGGCAATAATTTGTTTATGCTCAGAAAGACAGTGGAAGCCGTTGCCACGTTTCAAAGGCTTCTGTAGATTTTTGTGTACTAGACATAAAATATAAAAATAGAATCTTTAGTACTTAAAAGGATATTTATAATAATTAAGTGTTACTAACGAGCAATGCAATATTGTAGGCTAGTTTTCCTGGTGTATATTGCTGATGTGCGCGGACTGACGGTTTGCGGTACTGCAAGTGTCCACGTTTCTCCTCCTTCAGATCCCATGCTCCGGCCACTATAGTGATTTCATCATTCATTCTACGGATAATATAAAATTAACAATTTTTTTTTCAATGGTTAGGATAAAATAAAAACGAAACCTGTTGTGCCGGCCTTACATGAAATGGGAGAACGTGTTTAAAGGTGTAAGATATTCATAACGGTAATTGCGTAGGCAGGTCTTTGTGGCTTTATTCGCGTCAAAAAAAAAACTTAAATTCGTGGTGAAATAAGATTAGTATAAGTAACTTTGTCATGTAATTGTACAGATGTTAGAGTAATGATACGTTAATAATTTAAAGTTTACTTACTCATAAGTACAGTCAGCTGTGGTGATGGCAGCGCGAGGATGTACCAAAGTCGCATAGCAGAGTATGCTCTGTCGTCGCTTGCTGAGTGTGACGAGCAGCAGCCAGGGATGTGCCCCTCTCGGTGATTCGCCCATTGTACTATCTGAAAATAACATTTATGTATTTCATCCTTATTTCAAAGATATTGGCTTTTTAAAATTACGTCTTTCCATCCAGTGTTAGCAATCCATATCTTACAACTTAACATTATAAATGGGAATCTTTTCATGAATGGATGTATGTTTGTTAGAAATTATCTCCAGAGCGGCTGCTTGAATCTCGCTGAAATTTGCATACATGTAAAAGATAGTGTAGAAAAACACATAAAATATAGTATTTTTTTTTGGTTCCGCGCGGGCGAAGTCGCGGACGACAGCTAGTATATTATAAATATGTTATATGTATTAATTAGTGGGTTTCGCTTAAAATTAAGTGTTTCAATGTTTACTTATTAGCTTTAACATGCAAGAAAATAAAATTTACCACAGTTAAAAATATGTTCGTTGTCCTCATTTGTTCTTCCACAATTCTTGTACAATGGATCTGTCAACTCCGTATAATCGTCGTAATCTTCTCCTGTACTGGATTCCGATTGGAACATTTTCTCGCCACTATCTGTAAGACTTTCTGCAGTTGTAGGTCTTCTTAAAGTACGTATAGTATGAGGTTGTAATTTATTCTTTAAATTCAACAGTTTAAATCCTTGCAGAACTTGAAAATCAGGATTCGAATGATAACTAACGGTATGTCTTTCTGAATTAAGCATTCTGTCTGAGGCAGAAGTAAGTTTTAAAAGTCTAGGTTTTAAGTTTGCAGCGGTCGATGAAGAACCTGCTAAGAGAAACGTGACTAATAAGTATGTATAAGAAACTAAAAATATTTATCTTAGACTGCCGACGAAATATTTAAGAATACTTTAAATACTTCTAATAATTAATCTTCAAATGAAACTTTACACTAAACTTTGCTTATTTACAAATATTTTATCTCACCTTGTCTAGGATCAATAGTTGAATAACCAAATGTTGGAATTTCTTCTTCCACACTATCATCATTATAATATGAAGATTCTTTCTTTGGATATACAAACGACCAATTTGGCGGACTATGGTCTGAATACAGTCCCACTAAACTTGGTTTAGGTAATTCTGCCGCATAGTAATCATTGTAAATGTAATCATTGTCTTCTTGAGAACTTTTAAATTCATTAACTTTTTGTTTAAAATTATTATTTTTTATATTTAAATATGGGTCAATATATTCTTCGTCCGGTGTTACAATTTTCTGAGCTACTGTAGATGCAGTTGTTTGTATTCCATATTTCCTTTCTATTAGATTTTGTCTCTGTTTTAGAGCTGGATTTATATTATCGTCATTGTTAGAACGTTTTATTCGATTATAATCATTACTGGGGAATTTTATTTTTGAGGATTTTGATTTGGTTAGTGGGAGGATGCAGCAAACATTTTGGATATTCATTGCAGGTTTTAAAAGGTTCGATCTAAAACAAAATAATATTTAAATAAAGGATATAGTACTAAATAAATTGATGTGAACAATATGACTTACTGCTTTTCTGTTAAATACGGAAATCCATTGCAGCGATTACATTCAGATTTCTTCATATAAGTACAAATGTTTTCCGACAATGAGTCTTCTGTATTATTAAATATTATATTATTAAAAGTTTCACTTTTATTACCATTATTTACAAAACTTTCTGATCTATAAACGTTTACAATATTCGTATTGTTTTTATTTTTGACACTTTTTAAAGTCGCCACATCATCTGGGAATACAAAATTAAAAACATCTTCTTTATCTTCATTTTGTTTTTTAGTATCACCGACTGTGTCAATTCTATTCTGAGTTTCAAAAGCTTCTGTTTTATTTACGACTTCAACTGGGTTTATCAATTTACTTTCATCTCTGAAATGAATAATCGCTTCATTGTCTTTCGTCTTTACTGTTGTATCACTTAATGTGTCTTCTTTTTGTGTAACTTCAAACTGGTCATCTCTAAACACAATTTTAGCACTTTCGTCTGTTTCGAATTCCCCGATATCTTCAAATTTAGGTTGAGGCGGCTCTACTTTATACAATTTTAACAATTTATCATTTAACCACCAGAATTCTCCATTTATCTGAGCTACGATCACTTTGAATGTAAAATAGAAAATGAATAGTTTAGTCAACATTATGAAACGTCGTGTTTTGTGCTAGTTGGCTCTGGAAATGCGCGCGGTTCATATATTTACTGGGGCAAAAGTTAAAGGGCAGGATGTTGCGACAAGTGCAACGAGTGCAACAATTATCGGGTTATTTTCAATGATTTCGCGCGCTGTTAACTCTTCTATTATTCTCCGACAATTTTAGTTATTTGCGATCGGCGTGCGTTATGTGTCGGCTACTTCGTGTGACGGCAATTTACGGTCATTCACTGACTATAACTGCGATTATTTTTTGTAAAGTATAGTATGCAGATAAAATGTATTTATTGGTTTCTAATAGTTGTATATACAATTGTAGTTGTATAGTATTGTGTTACCATATAGAAAACATTGTAGCATTGGATTCGTTAGTGTTCTAGACTTTTCAAGTTTAATGCAATTTTCAGAAAGTAATCTACAAAAAAAATTAAATCCTTCAATCTCTTTTAAAAAATGTCGACAAAATTTTTAGAATGGAAATAAAAATTATTCGATATATTTGATATGTATTTTTGTTATTTGTTTTGCTGACCGTATTGAATTGATTAAGTTATTACGCAGCGTAAGTTTTCTAATTTGCAAATTATCGTATGTTTACAATTCGTTCATCCATGACCTCAATTACGACGAGATAGTACTTTTTAACGGGAATAAATATTCATCATAACAAAGTTAGTTCTATCTTAATTTGAGGACAAGAACAATCTAGTTACTATTAATTTATCATCATAGCTATATTTAGCAACATGTATTAATGTTATCCTAACTATTAACCCTTATACCAAGTTCGGTTACTTTTATTGTTCTCGATCTCGACGAAAAAATAACTTTTAAATTGTAAACATTTGTCCGTGTAATATAGAATTTTTATTCAATTTAATGTTTGAATTACGTTTCAAACTGTACTAGCGACAACGGTAGCAAAATGGAATTGTATTTTTTAACACCGCGGTACAATCGTCTTTCTATTTTCTTTCCTGCAAGTTCGTTAAGGCGTCGAGTAACTGTCTGCGGGGTCCACGTCTTAATACATTCTTCATTCTTTGATAAAATTCTCTTTGTACGACGCACAAAACTTTTGAAGTAAAAAAGAAGTGAATTCACAATTCTTTTATCTTAATGAAGGTATAAAGGATATTCCTCTGATTCAAGTTTATTTTGTTCTGACATGATTACACGTTATTCTTGAAGATAAGACTCGTTAACTTGTATATTGGATAGACAAATTACTTTTGGCGTACAGTCGACTTTCAAATGATTTGAGTTGGTAAGTTGCCTACGACATCTACTGATGACGACTTTACACACGCATCGTATACTGCGTTAAGTCCCTATTCGCACGATGTTTTTAAAAACAAAATAGTACAAAATACTATGTCATAAGCATTATATTCATGCCACTATTTGTGATCCGACGATCTTCAAAAATAGGAAAGTGTTTGCCAAATACTTGATATCAGTTGCAGATTCAGATTTGTAGAGCTTCAAACAATATCTTCATTAATGATTGAAGAATATATTAAAGTGCTAATAAAGTAGTTAAGGAGAAACTTCGGAGTACTTACATAGGAAGCTGAACTTCCGAAGCTCCTAAATTATAATAAATGACTCCATATATCAGTTTGTCGGACTCGGCGGCGCGGGATACAGGTGCGCTTCGTGATAAACTATTCAAATTATTAGTTTGTCACACATCACTACGTTTTATGTTACGTAAGAATTTACTACATTAAAGTTAATATTTGTATAACATACTGTATACAATGGAACGTATATATTTCTATGTATATCCGATCATATAGTAGCGCTTTAAAAAACAACGATTTTTTAACGTGCGTAGTTTCATTTTGAGTGCAGGGCGAAAGGAACAAGAGTTATTTTTAAGCGTTCGTCGCTTGAAGCGCTTTATTATTTAAATAACATTTATCTTAGGCTTCATTAAAGCTCTCAAATAAATAAAATAAGTCCCTATTACTAAAAAAAGTTGTTACATCTGTATTTTTCTTGAAATATGTTATTTATTACATTGTAATATTATGAACAAATTTCTAAACGTATAAAACGTATTAGTAAATTAGTTTGTAACAGCATGGAATATAATGAGGCGAGCGCAGTCCTCCGTCAAAGTAATTAACCCATAACGAGCTAAGCGAAAGCAATTTTTAGCGGTGAACGACACAAGCTTCGCAATTATTAACTTTTCCACCGCTTTGTCTTCATATAGCTTAATAAGAGTAATTTTAGTGCAAGCTCATGCTTCTAATATATTTAACATTTATATTCAAACTAGCCTTCGCCCGCGATTCCGTCCTAGCGGAATTGTTAAGAATCTTAATAAGTAGCCTATTTGTTCTTCAAGAGTATGTTCTACATCTGTCAAATTTAATCAAGATATGTTGAGCAGTTCTGGAAATAACTTCAAACAAACGTCCATCCATCCATTGAAACATTCACATTTATAATATTAGTAAGATTGCATTTTGGACAAAAACCTAGATACTGTTTTGTTTGGTTGATATGTAGTTACTATAATATACTAGAATAATATCAGCAGTGGACCTTAAAGTTGCAATTGTAAGTTTTAAAAATATCAGAATTACATAAACTATTCTAATGTGTTTTTCGTTTGTAATTTTTTGCGCTATTCATTGACTATTCTGACATAGACTTTGAGCGCCATAGTGACGCATGTTAGTGACATGTAGTAAGTGAACATAAAGATATAAAAAAAGGTTACCTAGCCATTTAACATGAAGTGGTATTGTGGTTAAGCACTAGGTTTTATAAGAGTAAAAAAGAGGCTATTAAACTGGAAACTGTTACGGTGGACGGGTAGCGTTGCGCTTTGTTGCGTTCCCAGTTCCCAGTTCCCAGCGCAGTACTTAGAGTACGTTAGGAAACTGGGGAAACTAAACAGTTCTGAAAATGTTACAACTATGAGGTGCTCTAATTTTTTAGAGTTACTTTTTTACAACATTTGCTCCATTTTACACAAATAAATTTAGTAATCAAACAAATCGCCTTGTCATCTAACCTCTATTAAATTTCCAACTATTAAAAATAATTAAAATTGAATTAATATTATCTGTTAAACTATTCGTACCGTTTTTTTTTTAATTTCACGTAGACGAAGTTATATTAAATAAGATAGAATAAGAAACATTTTCCTAAAGCATTCACCTATATATGGCATTGAACACGAATTCCCGCTCTAATTGGCTTGTCGCAAGGCTTGCGGTCTCTTTGCCTCGCAGCCTTCGTTACGTCGACGCTTCGGTCAAGCTTCGTATACATTGTCTATAACTTTTAAGACAACAGTTTCATAAAGAGAGGCACAGTACAGGACAGTACAGTAATAAAAGTTTAATTTAACACATAATTTTTAGTATAATAATTAAAATTTTTAATGGAATCTTTACACTTATAAAATAGAAGCAGGTCGTCGTTAAAATTCAAAAGCTTCGGAATTACGTTGTTTATCAAATTATTTAAACAAGGTGAGATAGCTCAAGGGCTGACGTCGCAGCGCTCACAGGTGAGCTAATGGTTGCCTAGCTCGCTTTAATCTCACTCATATTTTAGAGTTACCGTCAAGCGTAAACAAATCTGTGTTAAATAATTTAAACGTATAAAAACTAAACCTATAGGCCATAGAAAACAAATATTTATTTTTAATCTTGATTCTTATTACTGTAAAAAAGCGTTACGAATCAAATTTAAATAAAAAAAACATTACAAATAAAAACGAATTCGTGAATTACAAAATCTCCCTTAATTTTTTTTTGTTTTACTGCAGCATGGCTCTGAAGACGTTTGATAGCAGTCCTAAAGTGAATAATTTTGTTTTTTAATTTTCATTTCTAACTGATTGAATGATAATGGTGTGGAAATTAGTTTTAATATGACGTGGATTGCTACATATAGAGTACATTATTACGAGTTGAATAAAAAGCTTACAATTCAATGCGGAACCTAAAAATGGTATACAAATTCGTTGGCAATCGCCTTTAAAACAAAATACACTCGCACTGTTTTTAAATTTAACTTTGAAAACGTTCGGAAATAACTGAAACTGCTATTAATAGTTGTTCGCATTCGGTTCTACGTTACGAGCTATTCAATTCGCTTATACAATGTAAACCGCAATACTGAATTTGAGCCATGATTTTGCGTGAAATGCTAAATTATAATATCTATAATTTTCCTTCACATTGGACTAGATATGTGGTTTTATATTATGTTGCATTTTTTGTAAAATTTAGTTGGAGAGGCGAAACGTAACACAAGTACAAAATCTTATTTTTCTTCACTTTTAGAAAACACTAACCACGACTTCGTCCGCGTGAACGCGTCGTCGAGCTGCGCGCGGTACTGGACAGTTCTTGGACATTGCTGCAGTTCTGTTCTGTTCTGTTCCCCTAACAACTTCTTTTTCGCGTTACAAAGTAACCTATAACCTTTCTAAGGCTTTAGGCTATCTGTGTACCAAATTTCATTTAAATCAGTCCAGTACTTTTTGCTTGAAAGACAGACAGAGTTACTTTCGCATTTCTAATATTTTATTAGTAAGGAAGTAAGGATTGGTGATGATTGCTTGTTCTATGGTCTTAACTTCAAAACGAGTAAACGAATCTGCATTGATCCTTTCTTTCTCTGTCTAGCTTGTATCCCATATGGAAGTGGGATCAGCTTTCTTAATTAGTTCTTCTACTTCGTTTTGTCCGCCACATCTTCGACGACTGGCAGTCACAAATATCGGAGAACATATGCATGGATCTTTTGATCACGCAAAATGTTTTCACACAATAATTCCATTCATTCAAATAAGTTTTTTAATTCTATATGCATGTCGCAGGCGACAGCTAGTATACAATAAGCGCATGTATTCGTGTATGGTTTAAGCAAACATCTTTGTACGTATTAGATCCGGCTCGGATCACAAGAGCTTGTTTGTAGCTAAATACATGTCTTCGTTAGCATAACAATGCCCCCGATCATTACTATTGTTCTATATTAAACTAAAGGATTATATACATACGACTATATTGATATTATTCTGATACAATTTTGAAACTATTTTTTTCATGCGATAAAACTGCCAGCATTTAGTTATTTCTTTATAAATATTATATACCATTAATAGTATATATTAGTTACTTGTGAAAATTTTTTTAAAAATACTGGCTGTCGCCCACGACTCCGTCCGCGTGGGA